GACTGAGATAAATAATAAAATGAAATATTAAAAACACGATGTATGTCGCTGCATTGCGCGAGTACGCTTCTAGTTATAAAAAATTGAAAAAAATATATCAATATTAATATCAAATCAACTATTTAAAAGTTCTCATTTTTTAAATAATTGTTTTAATTTAATTTTTTATTATAATTTAATTTAAGTTTAATAAGGAATTAATTTATTTTTGGTTTAAAAATATAATATTTATAAAGATAATAATTAAAGATTCTGTTTAGAACACAATGATTATCTTAATTATATTTTAGATTTTTATATATTTAAAATGAGATGTTTATCCTGTATTTGATTATGTTTATCTACAGTTAGTTACACGAATTCAGATATGAAGCTTTAATAAGTTGTACTTATGTATAATCTACTTGTAATCTTGAGTTTTAAGTGACATGCATTAATAAACAATATTTTATGCATAAAAAGTGGTTTTAAGAGTTTTTGTCAAATACTTTATAATATAGTATATAAGTTTAATAAGAAAGTAATTTATTTTTGGTTTAATAATATAATATTTATAAAGATAATAATTAAAGATTCTGTTTAGAACTCAATGATTATCTTAATTATATTTTAGATTTTATATATTTAAAATGAGATGTTTATTTTGTATTTGATTATGTTTATCTACAGTTAGTTACACGAATTCAGATATGAAGCTTTAATAAGTTGTACTTATGTACAATCTACTTGTAATATTGAATTTTAAGTAACATGCATTAATAAACAATATTTTATGTATAAAAAGTGGTTTTTAAGAATTTTTGTCAAATGCTTTATAATATAGTATAGATATCATATTTAAAATACATAATGAAATTGATGCTTTTTATTGGGTATAAACTGGTTTTGCTATGCAAGCGATGAGATTAAAGACTTTGTATGAGAAAGAGAAAATTTTAAATTTTTTTATATATTCGGCAAATAAAAAAAAATTGTCCTGTTTAACATTTTGAATTTTTTTATTTAATGATGATTTAAAGTTTTAGTTATGTATTAGAATGATTGATCGTAACATATCAACAATTGGGAGGATAACAACATGAACCAAAAAAAATGAAAATCAATAAATTAATCATTATATTAATATTCTATAACTCTAATAAAAGAAAATAATATATGCATGAACTGACATTATAATATTTCAATATTAGTTTGATTTTTTTTTTCTAAAAAAATTATCATCACCGCGTAACATGCGATGCACAAAGCTAGTTGATACATAATGCATAAACAATCAAAGGCCAAAAGAGCATAAAGGATTTCATTATCTAAAGTAGTTAGACTTACCGAAATTCTAAAAAGTGAAAACTGAGAATAAAAGTTGTTTAATAAATGTGTTTGATGCATATATATATATATATATATATATATATATATATATAT